AACAATATTCACTATAAAAGGAAGATTTTAGAATTTATATCTATGAAGCTTTTTTACTACTAAAATTATTAAATAAAAAACATAGTCATAAAGGACTATGCAGGCAGAGAGGATAACTTCTTAGGTGCAACTGTTATTAATCATAGTTAAGCACATTCATCTTATTTCTTTCCAGCTTAACCAGCATAATGATCAGGATTATTATTTCTAATTAGAGGAAGTAATATATCATGTATAAGCTTAAGATGGGTCTCATTAATTAACCTGAACCCATAGAGAGTTCTAAGAGATAGTCAATCTTTGTCACAATGAAAACCATTGGTTTATGCTTCATTCACAGGAATAAACAATCCTGGAATTAAACTAAATAAATAACATTGATTAAATTTCTAAATAAGCATTAAAGATGTGACAGTTGTTGAAACAGGCTGTGATTTTATCTAAACAGAATCATATATGCCTCATAGATCTTCCTCTCACCAACCCGGTGATTGCCTGAATTGCGCTCACTGAATCCTGCCTGAATTCCCTGACCTGTGGTTTTTTCCCCTTAATCACAGAAAGGCAGGGGTTCCACTTCTATTTGGATTTAAAATATGACTGCAAACGTATTAAAAGTTTACAATAGATAAAACTCTGTGTAACCCATTAGTAAAAGCAAAGCACCTAATTTTTGCAGCAAAAAAGGGTTGTCTGACTTGGCCCTAGGAACCTCAAGAATAAAGTTTATGCAGGATATTTTTGCTGTTTTCTTATGCAATATGCTTCTGAACCTTTTTTGATAGATTTATTTTACCAGTGATGTTCAAAATGGTCTACTGTATAACCTTTGGTGTGAAAGGTAGATGCCTATAATTCAGAAGAGGATGAGTAAAATTGCTAGAAGCTACAGTTCAAGAAAGTATGAAGGGCTATAGCTTTAGGCACACTCTTAAAATTGAGGTTATTAGAAATGAATTTTCTTAATATTGTTGGTATTTATGATTTTCATAAATGGATGTGCTAGTTGAAAATTTGCCCATCATGCTCAACTGTGCACCTATTGTTTTCACTTGTGTGCATAGCCTGTAGAGGTAAACGTTATAAATATATCTTAAATAACTTGGATATCCAGCCACAGTGCTACCACATGTTGTGAAAATTACATTTCTTTTACAAGCTATTTTTCAGTTGATTAATTAAATATCTTAAATTTTTCCGATGGTCTTTCTGTATGTGTATGTAACTGCATATGCGTGGAGTCACTGACTGATTGTTTTCGTACCGTCAAGTCAGTGTTGACTGTTTGTGACCACATAAATAAGAATATGTATCTATCTCCATATATATATTTCTGTCTAGCAATCTAGGGTTTTTAAAGATTTTTTTTATCCCACCTTTATTATTTTTATGAATAACTCAAGGTGGCAAACATACCTAATACTCCTTCCTCCTCCCATTTTCCCCATAACAACAACCCTGTGAGGTGGGCTGGACTGAGAGAGAGTAACTGGCCCAATGTCACCCAGCTGGCTTTCATGCTTAAGGAGGGACTAGGACTCACAGTCTCCTGGTTTCTAGCCTGGTGCCTTAACCACTGTCTACATTTACACTATTTACACACTAGTTTGTGTATGCAGAGGGCTTAGTGTATGTGTGTGGGTGTATGTATATTAATAATATAATATTATATAAAATAATATAATATAATATTGAAGGAGAATAGAATTAATGATTTTCCACTGAATTCTTTAAATTTAGATCACACCATCTCCTGGTACTCATCCACTTCTAGTTTTTGTTAACCCTAAAAGTGGTGGAAAACAAGGAGAAAGGTATGTGTTTCTTGATGATCTTGTTAAGGGCTTATATCAGTATGAGTTCTGCAGAAAACCAATTCTTTTATTTACTTTTTGAGGAGAAAAAAATGAATACATGTATTTTACATTTTATTTTCCAAAGTTACTTAACACTAATTGCATAGAACAATGTTAATAATAAAAAAATGATGTTGAACTATAACCAATTTGTTGATTAGATTAACCAATGTTTTCATTTCTACATGTATTTATTTATTTATTTACCTACAGTCATATACTTTCCTTATTTGGAATATGTTTCAAACTGAAAAATTGCCCCATCTTAATCATACTAACTATATTTAAAATACTTTTACTTGTCATCAAAATGCTTCTGTAAGCTCTTGGCTTGTTGAAGCAGCTCTATTTTATAGGCTATAATAAATATAGCCTATAAAATAAATATGACTACAATTATGAAGTTCCAACACAAGTGGGCTTTATTAATTGTCACTTACTGTGATTATCGGGGTCTGAGTTGCAACATCGTTGGAGCTTAATTGCTGTTGGATTTGTGGCTACTCTGTGTCTTCTGTTCCTTTTGGATATTCCAGTCAGAGCACTATTCCAGCAACCTTTCTTCTTTTAACTTCTGGCTCTTTCTACGTCTCCAATTATCGATTGGTTTTGCAGTTATTATATTACCAGCACTTTAGTTTATATTCTCACTATTATTCTTCTTACTTTCTCTTAATAATAGATCTCTGTACTCCTTCCTCTATCTCTACATCCTCTATTCCTGCCTACTCGGTGTCCTCTCCCTCTTCCTTCTTGGATTGTTTCTAGCTTTTTCTTTTTCCCTTGTCCAGGGCCACATTATCACAAGAATAATTTATTGAGAACTATATTGCATGTTCATGGTATAAAGTAAGCAGCAAGAAAGATGGCATAGTCTCACTTCCTCCTTTCCTTTTTTTTTCTTCCTTTTTTTCTCAACTAGAAGATTGTTAGGGAAAGAACAGATATGCCAGAAACATGAGTTTGACAAAGGCGTTTTGAAATTAGACTAAGGCCCATATAAGGGTCCTTAGCTTTCTACTGCTACTTTAACCTTTTCTATTTTGTTCTTCCTTATTTAGTCTACTATGTGTTTCTTATTTCAAATCTCTCGCTGAATTCTAGTTTTCAGTTGTCTAGTTCCCTGATCTCATTTTTCAAAATGCATTAAAAATGCATTATATACAAGAACCAAGATGCAACTTTCTAGTTGTCTTCAGAAACTTTCTCCTTGGAGGGCTTTATTAAGGAGAGGAAAACCAGTTTAATATAGTATAACAATCAACTGCTTTCTCGTTCAAACAAATATTAGGATGATTTGTTGATTCAGTCTAAAATCCCAAGCAATTGCTCATGTCAGTTGTCTGCTCCAGTAACCATGATAGTTACAGTTCATCCAAAAGGAAGTAAGTCACCTGCCACTCTCTTCCCTCTTTTTCTGGACCATCTTCAGGCTAGGAATAATGCATGTGTTTGATTTCTGAAAAATCTGATTAACATTAACCAATGATTAGTCATTGACAAATGTATAGTTGTTATAGATGTAACATATATAAGAGATCCAGCCCCACCTTTTTATTTTAAAATATTGTGCATTTATTAATTCTTTAAGAAAGATAAAGAATTGCTTGATTTATTTTGGTGAGAATTTTTTTTTAAATAAACATACCTATGAGATTTAAAGAAATACAAGATACATTGATGAAACCATTGTGAGGAATCATAAAAGTGATACTGGGGCTGTATGTCATTCATGGCTACATATTTTATCTTACATATGGAAGCCTGATTCTTGCAAAGCAGCCAATGAGATAAGTTCTCTTTTGGGATTCTGCCACTTCCAAGGGAACTTCACTTCATCAGGTGTTACCCAGATAAACCCAAATGCAATAAAATCTTATACTGAAAACAATATTTCTAGACTAGAACCTTTCTTTCAATTCTCTGTTTAAGAAGAATGTTATTATGGAATATCCAGTTTGTGACTCTTCCATTAGCTTTGTAAACTGGAGAAATGTGCTTGTAGTGATAGAATTCCAGAAGGTTTGATTGAACAAAATTTTAGGCACCAAAAATATGTCTGACTCTCTTCATTTGGGGCTGTTGGTTTATCACAGAAGTGGAGCTGTAAGGCCTCAAGTGGTGTGCACTTGAGTTATCCCATCTTTGCCATAGATAGAAGTAGTGACCAAGATCTAAAGAGCTCTGCAGCTAGGTCATCTACTGATGTATGACAAACAGATTTTGAAATGGACTAAAATTTCAAAAGCAGTTTGCAGTACATCATGTACAAATGATTGGGGCGGGGGAGGGAATCAATTTAAGGTCTTCCTTAACTAGTTCTTGCCTGATATTTTATCTACTTGACATTTTCCATGTCTACGAATTATGCAAACTTAATGTTAGTGTGACTTGTCCTTCTGTACAGCCTGAAATATGAATATTGGTAAGTACAGTGTGGGATGCATTTTGACTTTGTTTGATCCAAAATATTAATACATGCTAGAATTGCCAAAATACAATTGTTGCCAATAAAATTCAAATATTTCTTCTATCTACAACTGCAGAATTTATAGGAAATTTCAGTATCTTCTAAATCCTCGTCAAGTTTACAGCCTTGCAGGAAGTGGACCAATGCCAGGGTAAGTCTATATGCTGTCAAACATGAACTTATTAAATAACATGTAGCCTAAAACACATTGATGATTGACATAAGATGTCTATACTTTGCAATGTATTAACATTAAATTAAATTCTGGAAATATTGTATAAGGAGAGATTAATTGAAGGAATATATACTTTGCTGTATCTTGATGTCACAGTGTAGGGTTCTTTGGGGTTTTTAAATATAAACATTACCTTCTACTTGGTGTAGATTAATGAAAGTTTTTAAAAAGGCTTGCAGTACTAAAAAACAAACAAACAAACCACACAGTAGCATAACACCACAAGAGGGTAGTGTTTTGTGAATATTCATTTTTAAATGTAAGATCATTTTCCATTCTCATTTTCTCCATTTAAAAAATTGTTTAGTCTAATTTGTTATTTGAAACACTAGTAAAGAAACTGCAAAACCTTCTGATTAATCATCTGTCCAATATTGTATAGCCTTTCTTATTTATGTTTTTCTTATGCAAGTTAATTTAATTCTGAGTTACCAGGCCATGTGTGTGTGTGTGTATGTGTATATATATATATACACACACCGTTTTATTTCTTTGTTGTGGCTATACAATCAGCTGGATACAAATTTCCCTCAGTTACAAAGTGGCTTTATAAATCTAGTTAGTTCAATGAACACAGGCTTACAAATAAGAAGTCAAGGGGTCAGAGCCACTCATTATTACTACTGACTGAGTCTCTGTCTTCCACCTGCCAGCTGCAGTCTTATACTAACACTATCATAAGAGACCTATCCTTGATGGTCTGAGCCAGTTTTAAAGGCAGCTATCATGGGCCAGGCTGTGTTTCAAAACTAGAAAGCACAGTACAATGTTTTGTTGGCTGCCAGCTTCAACTTCATGGGGCCAGCCAAGTTCCAGCGATAAAACTCTGGGGACATCCTTGAATATCTCTCAGAAATTCAACTGGAACATTCAGTAGCCAGCTGGAAAAAGGGTATGCTGTGATCTAGCCTGCCTCTGGCCAGCTCGCCCTGTTTAAAATGTCTAATGTGGTTAGGATTGCTGCTCTATTTTTCTATCCTCTCTTATCGCTTCCTAGTCACATCTTTTTGCAAATATTCACTAATGTCTGAAAGGAAGGTTACTGCTTCTTTATTCATTCTCACTCATTTGAGTATTCTCCAAATTTTGATAGTTTATCATCTGTCTGTCTATATTGTAGTCCATTAGCCAGAAATGAAATAACCATCTATCAGATTCACCCCACTTGAAGAGTCAGAGGCTCTTTGATTTTGTTCCTGGTTGCTCCTGTCTGTTTCTGAGTCCCTGGCTGTCTGAGTTGCTGATGAATAAGAAAGCGCATTTGGCTTCAATAGCTTCTCAATATATTGATATAACTAGACTAACTTTCCAGTATAGGATTTTATTTACTTTTATAGTCTGATTTACTGCTATTTTTATTCTCTATCAGCTTTTAAAAAATTATTCTTTATAATTGAGTTAATATGGATTTCTTTGTACTTTTAAGGGATCATTTCTCATAATTTTTTACATTTTTAGGAAATTTTTACCTTAGCTAACTTGGTCTAAAAGCAGGTGAGTGGTATTAGGCTGGATTGATCCCTCACTGCTAGACAGCTAAGACTCTCCTAGGCTAGTTCAGTGGTTTTCAAACTTTTTCAGGCTGCAGAACCTGTTAGTTAAAAAAATACTGAACCCCTGATCAAAAGGCAAAGCTCTAGTGATAGAAAATTGTCTGTGTTCAAGTGCACTTCCCCCCCCCCACCCCTTAATCTCTCATGGATGTCTATCACATTTTCACAGAACTATAGAATTCCATGGAACATAGTATGAAAACCCTGGTTTAGTAGACTTATCTACTCCAAATCGGAGGAAAGGAGGAAGGAGTGGGGTTGGCTGCATGCCTTAGTGTTTAAATTTAATGCCTATTAGACTTCTTTTCAAGTGGTAAAAGGACAATCAGAAAAGGAACATCTCTCTTTCCACAGCAGTTACAGGTAGTCCTTGACTTATGACCACAATAAGGACCAGAAAATTTGTCATTAAGTAGTACAGTTGTTAAGTGAGGCATCATGTGACCACACCCAATTTTATGACATTTTTTGTGGCGGTTGTTAAACAAATCACCATGGTCGTTAAGTGAATTGTGTGGTCATTAATGAATCACATGGTTGTTAAGTGAATCACATGGTTTCCCATTGATTTTGCTTGTCAGAAGCCAGCTGGGAAGTTTGCAACTGGTGATCATGTGACCTTTAATATTACTGAAATTACATTTTAATTATATTATTACTTAATTAAGTTACTATGATTACTCTTCATGTAATTTTCTTCTTTTGTCACATGCAAATTTACAACATGATGGCAACCTTGTTATTAAGGTTTGCTCTACATATTTATTGAACATATAAATTTTAAAAAAATAGAAAAATGGGAGTAGTGATGGGAAAGAAAAAAAGACAGCTGCAAGTGTAGTTTGCTACTTTTTCTTCAGCAAATCTTATTTGTCCAAGGACCAAATTCAGTCCAAGCTGTTAATGAAACAGTAAGGTGGGTTCTCCTGTAAAATCAAATATATTTCTTTGCAATGCTTAAGTGAACTTTCCTGTAGCATAACTTTAAGTATTAGCTTTGTAGATTTAATTTTTTCAACAATTAAAAAGCACATTGTTAATATTACTTTGATTATTAAAATTGTAGCATGGGAAAATAAGTGTAAATTGGAGAGACCATGCAAGCTCTGCAGCTGAACTTAAATATAAAATAGGACAATACATTTAGAGTCTTACTTAACAAAGTGACATGTACACTATACAGTTTGTAACACGCACCTGTTTTACTCTGAAAAAGAGTTTCACTGTTCACTGGTTATATCTCCGTAGGAGCAAGCCACTTTCATCAACAACTGCTACAGCTGATTTAGTTACGCTGAATAATCTGAAATTCAGGCAATATTCACATTATAAGTAAACAACAGTTGTGTAAATAGCAATTCAGTGGCATGTCTCTGTGAAAAAGCAGAGAGGTCACTCTTCCTGGCAAGGAAATGTCTAAATTATGCTATTTTAAAACCTTGCAATTGTTTTTCTCCTTATATTAACTTCTTTAAAGCTGTGATGTGGTATTTATGCATCCCTTAGTTTATTTCCCAAAGCATTGCTTCTATCCACTTGTAAAAATATACAGAATTAGAGCATTAATTTTGATGCTTAACTCTTAGTCTTTTATCACTAATTTCAGTAGGGTTAACTGCAAGTCATATAATCTCCTGCAGCAAATTATAAAACTATTAAGACAGTACATTCTGAATGTGTTGTCTCTATTACGGTTGCTGAGAAGTTCCCTGCCACCATATAATCCTTTCTTTCCTGGTTTCCCTTTTCTGATGGTGGGGTTGTTTTTTTGTGAGAAAACAAAATAAGTAGTAGGCACAATGGACAGCTCTTTGCAATTTGATTTAGGAGTCCATAGTTGCAAGCACCCTGTTGGAAGCTATTACCTGTCCCCACTGACCATAGCTACAGTTTGGGTACCTAGACAGAAGGATGAATCCAGGATCATCCTCAGACTGTTGCTCACTGAAATGTCCACATCTATCTGGAAGATGCATTCCAGGAAAATGGCCAGCTTTAAAAGTGGACATTGTGGACAGTCATTCAATCTACTTCTTACATATACTAGAAAATACCCTGAGGTATCTGATATACTCTTTTGCCTGAAATTAGGACTTCTGCCCTGTTGACTGTCACCACGCAAGATTGTCTAATAAAATTCTTATGTGTGCCACTTTAAACTCTTCGGAAGCAAAGCAGGCTATAGACTATGACTTTAACTACAATTGCAACTATAACTGTAAACATTGTCCTTAGATATACTGTATATTGGAAAGAGGGAAGGATAAGTTCGAACTGCATAGGTAAAGTCCGTGGATAGCTTCTGTAACCTTCTCTCTTCTAATTATGTTGTACTTGAACTTTTGTAACTTCCTAACAGAATCCTTGCCAAGATCCAGCACTTCTGGAGGAAAGGAGGTTGGGGAGGGCTATCTTAATGGGGTTATAAGCATCCAGTTTCCCACGCAGGAATGAGCAGCGTTGCTTCTTCAAAACACGTTTTGTTTTGTTTTAATGTTTCTCCTCACTGAACTAGAAGTGAGCTTCTTTCAGAGAAATAATGACTCCTCCTAATGTCTGATTTGAAATACAAATTTCCCACTGGCCAGTGAATCTTCCAGTACTATTTCAGTACCTGTTCTGCCCTTCTGTATACAGTAGATACTTTTTTCCAGAGTTTTATGTTTTTAATTACCATTAAAATGTGTTTCTATTTTATGTCTGCAGCAATACTTCAGTGAACTGAGAGAATAATGGCTGTTGAAGTGATGACCTACTTTGTTTCCATACCTAGTCTTTTCCTGTCTCTCTTGAAAAATAGTTGCTGTATTATGCCTAAATCTGTTTGTCATTAACTGGGATTATAAACTGCAGAAATAAGGACTTTTGTTACTCATCTATTATGATTACACTTCAGTTTTGAACAGTCCAAATAAAAATGAAAACCACAATTTCTATAATATCCTACTTCCCATTTTTCTTTCACAGGCTAATGTGCTTGGTGTGTCATTTGTTTTGTGAATGTACTTCACTCATGTATAGAAATACTCAATTCATCAGTAGTTCCAGTATACTTAGTTGCTTCTGTGGTGCAACATCCATATACATTTTTGTGTAACTGGTGAACTGTTGATCTAATTTAAATTTGGAATCATTAACTAAGATATTGCTTTAAGGGCAGCCACCCTCATTACATTAAAGAACATATTACTGCACTTTGTATTGGAAGTGTATTATGTCTCCTATATAATGCAGGGTTTAATTTGGTTCTAGCCTGTGTTTAAAAACTGTTGCAGTCAGCTGTACATTGTAGAAATCCCTGTCTGAAAAATGATGGTCTTTACAGCTGGTTGGCATCTATGTACCAGTTAATCTTTATACTTTAAAATATAGTTCCCGGGAGATGAATATTTTACTGCTCACCATAATAAACTGCATGTTATAATGAAACTAATTTTATTGTATCGCTTTGCAGTAATTAGCATCTTAAGACTAGTACCCTTATAACAGACCCCATTGTATTTGAAAATTATAATTGCTATGAAGTATGTGCTGTCCTGCTGCAAGCCGAGTTCAGCTGTTTTTTTCAAAGCGAGCAAAGGCAACTGCTGTGTAAGTATTCTGTTCACAATGTGTCAAGGAAGCAAGCTTCTGAACATAATTTCATATTCTTTTCTTTTTCAGATTAAATTTTTTTCGAGATGTTTCTGACTTTAGAGTATTGGCATGTGGTGGAGATGGAACAGTAGGTTGGATTTTAGACTGCATAGGTAACATTATGTATTTCTGCTTAAAATAAAACCAGTAAGAAATGTCTGAAATTTGGTCTTTGTGTTTAAGTAATTCTAAATTCATCAGAAAAAGCCAAAATTCTCTGCTCCATGTTGGAGTAATTAAAAGAAGGGAGGTTACAGGAAGGAAGTTGGTTATGAGAGTTTAGGGAAATTATGAAACAGATATTTGAAGCAGAAACTAAGCTGTTGAAATGCTTTCATATACTGTTGATAGGGAATGTCTGATGTTATTGTGGATTCTTTGTTAGTACATTGGATTTTTGTCAAAAATCCAGGATACAGTTCATCAAACGGTAATACCCTGTACCTCAATACTGTACTGAAGAGACATATGAGTATTTTTTAAATTATTGTTATTTTGTCATAAACTGAAAAGAATTTATCCATAGTTTAGTTTACCTCCTAAGATTTACTAGATGGTTAACCTGGCCTTTATGCATAATACAAATTTTATGTAAGATCAATCAATATATTAATATTTATGAAAGAATACACATTTATGGAGTTCTTGGTGTTCTCTGAGCTTGGTTGTTTGATTGCAGATGTTTCATTACTTGACTGGGTAACATCATCAGTGGGGTTTGCTCCTTGTTTTATATACAGTAGCTTGCCCGGTTTTCTGGGTGTGGTTTTCTCCTTTGTAGCTCCTTGATTAGGGTATTGCTTTCTGCTTGATTGTTTGTCTCTTGATTGTCTGTATCCTTGGAGGTTGAGCAAGAAGTTGGTTTTCTTCTTGGTAGTTGACCAAGGAGCTGGTTTTCTCCTTGGTAGTTGACCAAGGAGTTGGTTTTCTCCTTGGTAGTTGACCAAACCACACCCCCACCAACACTGGCAGGGCAAACTACTGTATATAAACAGGGAGCAAACCCCACTGATGATGTTACCCAGTCAAGTAATGAAACATCTGCAATCAAACAACCAAGCTCAGAGAACACCAAGAACTC